AGACTGAGGAACTCACGCCGTCCCGTCCGTCCGCTGCGTCGTGTCAAGGTTGACAGAGGCATTGAAAGGCCGGGATCGGAAACTATGGCTCCTACTGCTGCTGCTTCTCACTCAGCCTGGAGAAACCAGAGACCCGCCTGTTTGTCCGCTGCTTGTACCATAATGATATGAGAGATGTCCAAGTTGAGAGCCCGAAGTCGGGAACGTCCATGATGTTATTTTGTATCTGATGCGACGTATTGGGATGCGATGATGTTGTTTTTCTGTGACTGCTCAGTCGGTCTCGAGTGGATGGTGGCTAGAGTAGATGCGTTGTTGCAATTGGTCTGGAGATAGACAGTTCTTGGTTTTCTTCCTTTTTCTTTTCCTCTTTCGTTGTTCTATGGGAAGACTCAAACCCAAGAGGGCCTTATGACGGAGAAGTTTAAGATTGGGCTCTGACATCGAACATAAGAGGGTATGAGACCGAGTGTCCTGGAGAAGGATTCCGCTATAAGAGATGAGTGGATAAGAGGGCGAGCCGGTCGATGACATGGCTAATGACTGCCACTTGGAAGTTGAGGTTGCCGATGTTGATGCTAGCAAGCAAGCAATCTGAGCTGGAAGCTGTATCGGTTGAAGGACTGGGGGCAAGTGACACATCTGTCTAAGACAGCCAGTCAACCAGTAACATCTTTTGGTGCCGTTCGAACAAGAATGGAGTAAGTAGTCGTGAAGTGAGCTTTGATTGCTGGGTGCTTCAAGGTGTGCTGCTAGCACCCTTCTTATCGAACGCTGGAAACGCAGGTTCCGTCAAAAGAAAGAGACAACAAGAAAGCTAGGATGACGCTTAGAGAAGCAATGCGCTGATTTCTCGTTATGTCTTGCGGACCGGTGATCCGCCTAGGAGAGTTTGTCGCTCTCAGCAGTACATGTTCCAAACGGAATGCCTTCCAGAAATCTTCGAATTCTTCCCTTTGTTGGAAGAGGTCTCACCCGCGTCTTCGATCAGTTGGAGGACCATTTTGAGGAACGTCGATGAGGTTTCATTTCGGAATGTGCGATTATAAATTCCGTATTCAGGAGCCACAGCGGCACCAACCTAAAGGATCTGATCTATTCGGCATTGATCATCTCCACGCCAGGATCGCTGAGGTTGTGGTTCTTGTCGATTACCAGAGGACCGGCCATGATGAAGAGAGATGATTGCGTAAAGATGAAGCGCAGGACCGGGGAGCGATTATCCCCTGGAAATCATCTCTTCCAGGTTTCTAGAAGGTGCTGTCAGTTTCTCTAGCGCGTAGTAAAACTGTTCGCATTGTGTATATGTATAGTTCTCGTGGAAGTCTTCCTGCACCAACAGGCACGGGCTTGGGAAAATCTTCCTAGAGCCAAGACCACAGTCAGTTCAATGAGTGTTACCACAGAGATCAATACAGTCACCGCAGCGATTATATTCCACAGTAACATCGCAACTATTTGACCCCTTGCCGACCTCGGAGACGCTCAATTGTGTTGGGCAGGCTTCGCAGTAGTAGCTGAAATAACGGGCGAGCATTTGTCTGACCATTATCCGGTACCGGTCCCTGAGGCAGATGTACGGCATGTGAAGGCTCACACCAATCATATGAAATAGTATAGATGGCTCTCGTAGGTGCGCGGAATCAATCCTGCAAACAGATTTGAGTACCGCATTTGGATGTTTGAGTGATAAGTTAAGAACTACTCCGCATGTACCGCAGGTGCCTGGGTGTTGGGTGTCTGGCATTTTCCTGATCATAAGCAGCCTGATCTGCTAATAGATGGCTTTCTCAGTAATTCAATGTAGGCTGAGGTCAAGTTAAACAAGCGTATGGTCGCGCTACCCAGAAGGATTGCTTTACAAAGTAGAGAGAGTTTTCTCGCCTCAATATATAGCTGATTCCTGGTGCTGCCACTATTTGTCATGAGAGATTCACTCAGTAAGTGAATAGCGCGGTGCGGCAGCGACAGTATTCCTAGTGAATTATCCCCAGTGTTACTTTCTGAGCACTGAGATTGCCTCATGTATCATAGCCTTGCTGGTGTGTGAATCTCGACTAAGCTATAATGAAGCGAAGGTGAAAATGCTTTTGATGGCCGGAAACACTGACCCAGCTTTGGAAGTTGAGTAGACTGCTCAGCAACACACAGAAAGCGGATCCTAGCTATACATACCATAGGTATATCGTACTCAAGGATTGATCGATGGGTGCAATCCTAATATTGAGAGAACACTGAACCCAGTGAATGTGGAGCTGCCGTCCCGCATTATGAGCTGCCAGGATCGACACATGCCCACCATTCTCAGTAAGTCGACAAAGATCAGTCTGATAGGATCTTCTCCACTATATCCGGATTTCCTAGCGCTGTTTGCGCTATCGTGGGCCCGTTGTCAGCATGATCTTCTTTCGGGGTTGTTGGTCTTTGCGTCTGCTTTTTCAGGCTGGACAAGCATTGTTCGATGCCACGCAGAAATGGACCTTGGGATTCTCGAGAATCTCCATATGAGCTATGCGTCCCATCTTTGTTCTTGCCAGGCCCTCCCAGCTGATCTTCACTATCTGCTCGAATACTGAGATCCAGCCTCTTGTGTCTTTGGGAGCCCATCTTCCGACCTGCTTCCATCTTGGAGTGTGGGTGTCTGGGTCGACTCTTCCGAGTCCCCGTCTGATAGGGGATGAATACAGACCAAGCTTTTCAAATTAACGCTCAACATTCCCAAGTGTTCATATCTGAGCACCCCACACCAGGCCATTGCCCATAGTACCATATGAGCTTCCTTGCTCATGGCCTAGTATGCCTGAGCTCGGATTTCACATGCCTAGTGCTCTGCTGGGTTGTACCTGTCCCTGAAGAAGAGGAAACAGTGAACGACGGCGACGCGAACGCCCTGTCAAATTCCAGATCTTTACTGTTCACAATATAAAGTTCGTTACCATTTACCGACGGGCGTAAAGGTATAGGCAGCGTTTCGAACAAGGGTAACCAAGACGGACTAACTCCCTACCCGGTGTGCATCGGACCCGATAGACGCGGGCAACATGCAAGCCGAGTTAGACAAAATAGTCAAGGAGAGCAGCATGGCAGACATTGTATGTGTTATAGGTGTAGCAAGATCGATGACAAGCACCAAGTCGATAGATCGTGGATCCGCTCGAATCAGACGCTGCTCGCACACCCTACCGCGCTAGATCAGCGTCGTAGTCTTTGATGCCGAGGTATTGTCAATCCCAGGGTTGTCTTTGCTCCCACCGTATCGAGAGGAGCTGAACAGCATTATTCTGAGGACACCAGGACATTATAATCCTCTGATTGATTTTTTTTTCTGCGTATGTGCTGCTCGATCAAGTTGAGCCAGGTTCACAAGTACTCGAACTTTGTCGCCTGACTCTGACTCGGTAGAGTGGCGGTTACCAGAACAGAAACGCAGTATGCCCGGAGATGCCATGCTTGACCCTCCTTTCCGTTTGTTGCGCTTCTTGCGCTTTGCTAGATTACTTGCGTCGCCTTAAGCTGATTTTCCTAGGGGGATCTCTGCCTGGCCCCATCATGAGCTCCCGCTGCAGTAGAGGCAGCTGAACTTGGGAAGATAGACTGCATGATGTATGTATATACGTTCGATTCACTTCTTTGTCCCGGATGCGGGGGCGGCTCGCAGAGAGCATCGTAGTACGTTGCAGGCCCTGTATTTTCGGGCTAGCTCGCTTGTCACTCCGAAACCAGCCCATCCAAGGCACAGTAGGCGCATAGTCCGGGCATATCCCTCTGAGTGGCTTCACTAGATCTTGAAGTATATAAAGTCCACGTTGTCACAAGCAGTGGGATATTCTGGTACTAATGAGGCCAGACCATCGCAGATTGAGCCCAGGTGCGTTCATGGTGTTACAGGGTAGCATAAAGCGTCCTGTAGATGAAAATAGCTTCCGGGCAAAAGACTTCCTGGAGGAACACCTCCAGTTGTAAAACATGGGTGAACAGTATGTAGCATTCGTAGCTGGACTGTGGCGATACTGTTCTACCTATGGGTCAGTTCGTATGTTTCGAAGCACCAGGTACTTTTCTGCAGCCGGCCACCATCGGTACAGAATCCCACATGGATCAAGCCCCATGCGTGGAGGTATGATCTACAGCCAGATGCAGCTTCCCTTGAACAGCTCTCCCAGACTTTGAGAGGGAGCACTATATCAAGCGGAGACTCCACGGGCCATTTTTCGGTATCTGTATATGTGTAGACATACAAACAGAACACAAACTACTAATCCTCTAGACCAAGAGACTCGGGTGCTAACTTCGTAGCAGGCAAGATAGGATAGTGTTGACTGATTATGGTGAAAGGGTTGATCTCTGAACAAGTTGGATCAATCGGAAGCTGGCTCAGTCCTGTACCCCTTAGGGGTTCTCACATCGCCTTTGGACTGGAATGCCAGGACTTGGCCGGTTCCGCCCAGGATGCTTTCTCAACCACAAGAGTGATCGTTCTTCGTGCGAAACAGAAGGTGTTTCATTCATTGCTGATGTGTTGAGCATATTGCGTGAAGCATGGTACTCTTCTCTTGGCCGAGCCGATGCATGTAATTCCAAACCATACCACGAGTAATTCCTGCTAGCCCCTAGTCTGTCGGAAACAGAACATGGTATCAACTTCATTGGTAAGAACTTGTGTCTAGTATTGTATAATATAGCAGGGTCGGCACTGCGGAAAACACGCAGCATTCGATGATGAGTGTGCTGCTTTGAACGCCTAGGGCAAAAGGCCCACGTCTTGGATGTGGTACGGGCATTGGCGAGTTCTCTGCTGTATAAGTCCGTTTCCTCAGTGCTGTGTAGTAGTATGTGCCTGACGACTTTATTGCCGGGTCTTTCGTATGTAGATGCCAAAGATATTGCAAAAATTCAAGTGATGAGATGAGGCTGTAAGCAAGGTCTGGCTCTTTGTACTCCTTGACTTTCAACTTGATGTGGTTGACACTGATCCACTTGAAGCAGGGCGTGGTATCATATGTGTTCAATCGTCAGAAAGCGAATCCGGCATGATTCTAACGAAACGCCGATACTGCTTAACTCGGCGACGAAGCATTGCCCGAGCATGTCAATGACCGTATCTCGTCCAGAGGGCCATGTTCCCTTCCTATGGCGCGGAGAGCATCATAGGAATTCCATCATACTTCTGGGGTGTCTTAGGAGCCTTGCACTGGACCTAAGCATCAGATATGCGCAGCAGGCATCATGTCGTTGGCTCCAGATGTCTTCGTCTCAGAAGCAGATCGCCTGAGAGTCGGAGAACTAACGATTGGGTTTTGGAGAAGCCATACAAGTTGATCATCGTAGCGGTCCATATCAAGCGTCTGGGATCTGAAGACGATACATATATTATGTATATGTGTCCTCTTGATGAATCTTGGTGATTTGGAACGATAGGGGGAAGAAAGAGATGTTCGATAGATATTTCGCACTTGAGAGTAGAAGTTGATATACATGTAGTAGTATGTGTATACTATCCCTTGAAATCAGGGCCCATGACTGGCAGTGCTGTAATCCAGAAAAATGGAGGAGAGGAAGGGGGACGGAGCCTGCCTTTATAGCCAATTCTCCACCCACATAATCACTGGTTAATGATGCAATTAAATGAACGATTCAGTTAATTCCGGCGATTTAATGAAAAAAATTGGCAACTTCCGATGGGAATCGGGTGACGAGCCGCAGTGACGCCTTGTCTTTCCCCACTGTGGTATCGGCACTGCGTACAGCCAGGGTGAAGAGTCAGGGCTATAAATGGGATACAGCATCATATTGAATACAATAGTAAACATCTTACAGTAGATGAATACGAAGACATTGCATGGCGATGATTATGTGCAATTAGACACCAACGATCTATCTTTTGAACATGGTATGATTGATAAATTACTCGTCATAGTACACCACCTGGCTTACTTTTCCATTTCACTCCGCGCCGTCACTCACCGCGACAAAGCAATGTCATCAATTCTCATAATCATCTTCACTGTCTCAGCAGCCAGCTCGATCGCGCTGGTACTCACCAGGAGCGGCTGCAGGATGTTCTCCTCAGTGATGTCGTCCTTCACGCCACCACTGCGAATGCTGACTCCTGCGTTGTGCTGGCCCTGGGCATGGCGGTGGCGCAGGTCAGTGACCACCTTGATCGAGTTCAGACCGGCATTCTCAGCCAGCGTGGTGGGAATGACCTCCATGGCATCAGCGAATGCCTTCCAGCAGATAGCCTCCGTGCCGGTCAGCTGACGAGCACGCATGGCAAGGGCATGGGCGATCTCAATCTCAGGGGCACCACCACCAGCGATGAGGGCGCGCTTCTTCACCAGACAACGAATGACACAGAGAGCGTCGTGAAGGGAACGCTCAGCCTCGTCCAGAATGAGGTTGTTGGCGCCACGAGCGACGATCGAAACGGTCTGGTTGGCGGCGGCAGCAGGGGTCTTAATACCGGTAACCTTCACATAGCGAGCACCAGACTGCTGCACTTCCTCGACCAGGTCGGCAGTACCCAGCTTGTCCTCAGTGAAAGAGTCGATGTTGGCAACGGGCTTGCAGCCCAGACTCTTGCAGAGGAACTCGACCTCATCACGCTCGATGTCCTTGACGGCCAAAATTTTGAGACGAGAAAGGAAGTGGAGGGAAAGGTCGTTGACGGCATCACGGAGGATGGACTTCTGGATCAGAAGGACATTGCACTTGGTCTTCTGGATCTTCTTGACCATGTTGAGGAGGTATTGGCGCTCTTCCTTGAGGATCTTGTCCATCTGGCGGTAGTCGTTCACAACAATCTGGTTCTCCATCTAAAGCCATTGTTAGTATCCTATTCCAATGTCCGAAAGATCATCAACCCTACATCAGGCTTAGGCGGGCTGAGCTGGAACTGAATCAGACCTATCCGGGCCTTCTCAATTCTGGTAGGACCGCCGCTGCTCTTGATGACCTGCTGGTTCAGAACCAAGCCATCAACCATCTCACTGTCCTCAATCGTTCCGCCAACCTTCTTCACTATACGGATATTGCGGAGGTCCACGTTCTCGGCGGTCTTGGGGTCGACAACCTTCAACACGGAATCCACGGCCATAGGGCCGAGGAGGCCGGAGTGCTGCGAAACAATCTTGGAGGAGAGGGAGGTGGAAGCAGCCTGAAGGAGGGTGGAGCGGTCCGTCAGGTTGATGGGGCGAGACATGTTATGGAGGATTTCGACAGCGGCGGCAGCGGCTCTTTGGAAGGACTCCGAGATGACAGTGGGATGGATACCCTTTCCAAGCAGGCGCTCTGCGGCACCGAGCAGGCTGCCGGCAATAACGACAACGGACGTGGTACCATCACCAGCCTCGACATCCTGAGCCGCACTGAGATCGACCAGCATCCTAGCGGCGGGGTGCATGACGCTCATATCCCTCAACATGGTGTTTCCATCATTGGTCTGCGGGGGTTAGCGGGGGGTGTGTGTCGGTATACGGAGAGGTGATCGTACGATGATTGTGTTTCCCTTGGGTGTTTGGATCTATTACTATGTTAGCCACGGGACCTCCATGTTAGTAGACATGTTTCCTACCATCTTGTCCATACCCCTGGGTCCCAAAGACTGCGTTGCGGTTAGCCCCTCA